GACAATGTAACACAACGGAAGATTTCAACAGCAAGAATGAAGAAGAGACAAATAATTGTAGACATATTTAGGTAGTAGAAACCAATAGGATTTTCCAGCCAATTGGTTGGACATTCTATTGTCAAACAAAAATAGTTCAGAATTTGTTACTTAAGGAAAAGTTTATTACCTACTTTAAAAATTACCCATGTCATTTTATTCTCGTGTTCTACAGCTTGAGTCGATTTAGAGTTGATTATAGTCTATGCACTCTCACAAACTACAAGAACTACTACATCTAGATTAGGCATCATATCATTTTCTGAGCTACAAAACTCATCCTAAACTCATGTTAGTGTACTATTCCACCAGCAAGGATCTCACTGGATTTTGCTCTCAGGTTACATCTGAATTCAGCATAAGCAATCTTGTACCAAAGAATATACTACTAAATGAATTATCTGAACTCTCTGAGGCACAGGGAATTTATTAAGGTCCAAACTGCTCTAGAGGTGTAAAAATTCTAATGTTTTTATACAATATACTCATATTCCTTTTTTCAAATAAAAACATTCACAAGAGTGTAAAAGATATTGAAATACCAAGAGAGGTGATCTTTTGTAAGCACATTTATGTTCTCTTGGGAAATAAAGAAAAAAGTCATTCACGACTGAGTATAATGTTCCTCACTTACACCTGCCTGATGAAAGCAGTCAACACAGGCATTTTCAAATTAAAACACAGTTGGAGTAGGTAGCCTGAAAATGGATCTCTGCAAAGAGGAGAAAAGGTGACAAGGATGCTGTTTATTAAAATTTGCATATGATAATAATCTTCCAGATATTAATCTATCATCTTCCTCTATTGCTCTAGTCACCAGGTCAATCCCTTAAATGTACACATGAATTATAAGATTTGAAGGTAACAGGAAGTAGGACTCCATTGCAATATGACCATGATTCCCACATACAGAAGCACCCAACTCCATTAAATAGAAAAGGGCAAAGAGTTCTTCTAACAACTTATGTGCCAGTGTACAAAGGTCTTGCTCTTACTCATTATAGAGCCACTGCAGAGCCCAATTCTGTAATGGAAGCATAGGACCAAAGGGCTCAGTACAGATGGAGGGAGGTCATATTACTCGCCAGGGACACAGCTGGTTTGTGACAGCCCCAAATTAGAACCTTGAGTGTCCATCCTCCACTCCCAGAAAACTCCCATCTCTTAAAATAACAGAACACGAGGAACTGGAACACACAGTTAAATGTGCCCCAGAATTAGTTTCTATAAAATGAAAACTAATAAAGGAATCAATTGATGTGTTGGCCATTCCTTCCACTGATTATATTCATTAATCAGCAGACAAAACTGATCTAAATTTCCTTAAGATGTCAGTTTAGGACTTTTATCTTTCTTTTTTGCATCCTTTAAGCTACGGTATATTAATTGTTTGGTTTATTCTTTAAGGACAGTATTTAAAATGACAAGTATCAAAATAAAAAATGCCATGACTCTGCTTTCTCATTCACAAGTAAAGCCTTTTATGAGCGTTCTCTTTAGAACACGGAAGTGGAAAGATTAATTTGCAATCTTGGTCAATAAAAATGCCCCTAAAACACTGGTGGAATTGTATAATGAAAATAAAGAGGCACACATCCCCCGTGCTGCTGGAGGGGAGAGTGAAGAGAAATTAAACATTAGCAGCAGCAGAATGAAGAAGTCATAGCTCACACAGTTACAACAGAAAAGGTTGCAACAGCTTCGTCCACAAAATGTTTGAGGCCTTGAAAAATCACTTCACAGTGGTACATGAGCTGGGCATGTTTGCATATATCTAGTAAGAGGCATTATACAGATTTCCCTTTCATGGGGAGTTTTACTTTTATGTCTAGTAGATATCACAATGTCTAGTTATAAAAAAAGGGAATGATCCCACGTTCATTTGATTAAAACCTCATTTCTTCTTCAGATAACAACACGCACATTTTATTATTCATCTCAATTTGAACAAAAGGCAAGATTTCCTCCCTTTCTGCCCAGAAACTACCAATGGAAAATTAATATGCCAGAGGAACAATGAACTCATCTCCTGGCCTGTGAACTTTCCTGGTTGCTAGGAGGCTTGTGAATTCTTAGGGTTACTTTAGATGTGGTAGCATGGATTGGGGGCTTACAACCTTCACAGAGGGCATGGTCTTCACGACTGAAAGTTTCAGTTTTTCATCTAACTGTTCCTTTCCAAGACCTTGTCAGTTTTATGTGTGCCTGATCTAAACTCTTGATCTTAAGTGTAGTTTATCCTGAAGGGATACAAAAAGCCAAGGCTAAATGTCAAGTCCACTCTATAAATCACATTTTACACTGGTTATTACTTATTTCCAGTTAGAAATGGTGCAGCTGTCTCATTAGAAAACTATCACAGAACCTTACAATTCTGCTCACAGCACTACTGTGTGTTTGACAGGTATACTGGACCAAAAGGACTGCTATAAATAGCTATTTCTAATAATTTCCCCAGATCTCTCATTTCCCAAATCTAAAATAAAGATTACTTCTCTTAAGTTATCTTAAGTTATTTAGTACATCTTTGAGAAGGCTTGCCTTGTCCTCTGAACCCAAGTAGTTTACCCACAACAAAAGACCCTGTTTACTAAAATTGAAGTATGGTAACACCCACAGTCGTTAAGCCACATGGCTGGACAAACAGAAGAAATATGGAAAGCTGTTTCACCACATTCAGCTGGTGTTTCTAAGCTACTTCATTTCCTACGTGACAGTCTCTGTACCCACAGCAACAAACTGGATACAAGTGGATTTCCTTCACATTTTCTAAGAGGAGGAGAACTTCTTATAAATGATCTCAGAGTGTTGCTACATAGCATCTATTTCTATCAATGGTCATACTGAAAGGAGCCATTATTTGGAAAGGAAATAGATATCCACTCATCCACACACACACACACTTATCCCTCAAAAAAAGTTGCATATGAGAAGAATCCACCTACTCTCTCAATATTCACTATGGGGTTTTGTCTTGATATTTACTATTTCCTTCATTTAGAACCAAAATTCACTTTCTATTACTCCATATATTAGCTAACATTTAAAATAAGAATAAATAACAGCCCACCTTCCCTGGACAAAAACTATATTTATCAACCTTTAACCCCATGAGTCTAGCAAGGCACTCCATAAAATGCTGAATGAATGACAGCTCTTCCTATGGTCTTTTATGCTCAGCAGTAACCTAATATTGAATCTGGACAGAAAACCACCCACCTGAGACAGGTTACCCTTTATTACTACAAGACCATCTTACCACCTGCAGGTCAAGAGATGAAATAAGAGAATCACATAAAATTAAAAGTTGCTTCTTTATGCCCTCAAAAATGTCTTGCAGTATTGTCAATAGCAAAGAAGTTCTGACCCAAAGACAGAAAATGTAATCATAATGAAACAAGGCTAAAACAGACAAAAAAGTCTCCATGGGAATGTGCCTGAAATTATTAGTCTTGCAGGTTTGTTGAAGAAATTGCGGCCACCTGACTTTTAGAGCTTCACACTTAAATGTCAGTACTGGCTCCTTAAGAGGGACAGAAAAGAGGGATACCGCTAAGTGTGGAAGAAAGACATTCAAACCCTAGTTCATGTAACCCAGGATTATCTGAACACAGTGTAGACATGGATTTATGTTTTGAGGTTAGATTTGGACCTAGGTGCATTTCCAAATGTACTGCCACAAGTCTGAAGAGTACAGCAACCACATCAGTGATTTAAATAACTGAGGTATAAACTGTAGTTGTCACTTCCTTCACAGACTTGGCTTTTCATGAAAGAGAAAATCAAGGGAGCCTTATTGCCAAAATAGTACAACATCCTTGTGTTGTCTGATTTTGCAATAAAAAGATAGTTATTTTATTTAGGTTTTATATGCATGGCAATGCGGCCACAAGACATTTTTAAAGCATGAGATACTGACCTTAGTTTAAAAAAGACTTGCTGTTTTAGTTGAAAGATAGTAAAGCTAGACTGTAAGTACCAACCACAAGCTTAAAACAATCTTTGCAGTTAAGGCAGGGCTTAGAATGATTTGGTATAGGATGTGGTTTAAAACAAAATCTCAGTTCTTCCATTACACTGTGTTTAGAAGCACCCTAACTCTTTTCTGAATGAAAAATAAATAAAAATGGGTATCTTCCAGGCCGTTACTTATCAGTGATTTACAACAAGTAAGAAGAAATCAACTAAAGGTTTCCAGCATCTCAAGTATTTTATCCCTGAGGCCTCGAATCACAAACCAAAGCCATCTCATTCTATTTCCAAAGAGAACAGGCTCATTCAGAAAGGCTTTTAAGGGTACTGCATTTTAAGAGAAATCTATTTTGAAGCCTCCACTTCCATTTACCATTTTGTTTGTCCTTCCTGTCTGACAGCCAAACACACGATTCTGCCTCCATTCCTTCCATGCAGCCTAATTCAAAGCAACATATGCTAAATCCACGCAGAATCATGTGAGTATTCAACCCGCACACACACCATTACCCCACAGAACGTATCCGATGAGCTCCTACATAGTTCCCTGCGTGCAAATCAGACGAGCCTGAGATGTGCACATACACTGGAACCGTCAAGAACGGTTCATGAAACCTGTTCCCTCTGAAGAAAAAGGGGCTGCTTAAATTCCCAGGAAGGTAACTGGCTACAAGGCAGGAGCAAGGGAGGCTGGCACTGCGGGCAGTACCGGACGCAGGCTCCAGCACAAAGCTCAAGGAGGCTGCATCGCCCGAGCTTGCAGTCATTTATCTCCCTGCAGCCCCAACGCTCGGTTCGTCCCCCCTCCCTGATTTCACCTAATAGCACTCAAACCCCATATTGAGAGGGCCTGCGGTGGATCTCGCAGAGGTACAAAATGGTGGATAGGAGCTAATTTTTCCCTGTTTTCCCCATAACTTATCGCATCCATCACCGCAGGTCCTCGGCCGCGGTGCATCCGGCCCGGGGGCCGAAACGCGGTTACCAACCTGATGTCATGTAGCCCCGAGAAGCCTGGGGCGCGAAAGCGGCGGGGAAGCGCTTGTGCAGGCGGTAGTCCTTCTCGCTGCGGGACCTCATGCGGTCCGAGGCCCGGTCCGAGAAATCCGAGCTAGGCCAGGCTCGCCGCAAGGTTGTGCTCCGGGTCTTCTTCATGGTGGGGAGGGCGACCTGCTGCCCCGATCCGGGGGCCTCAGCGCCGGGGCGCAGCGCGCTGCTTCATCCGTCTACGGCGGGCACGACCCGGGCGGACTCTGCGCATATTTTCCCAGCCCCTCCTCGTCGGCGTCTACACCGCCAGCGGCGGGGCCGGCCCCCCCCCCCCCCCCCCC